TAGACTGAAAATGTTTGAATAAAGCAAATCCTCAGTATAAATTTGTATTATATCCAGCAGGTGAATATTTTGTTCAGGGCCAGGCTGATACTCCCCCTCGTTACAGTTTTCCACCTGACTTTTTAAATCAACAGGAATGGAGCCCAAGGCTTTTTTTTTTTTTTTATGTGGACACCTGTATGCTAACAAGACTGAGGCCACTCATTTGCTTTGTAAATTAGCAAACTGCTTTTCATCAACACTTACCTTCCATCAACCTATTTCCCCCTTTTCATGCATAGCAAGTACAGTAAACCGTCATTAATTCTCACTTTACTTCTCTATATACCCAGTAGCTTTGTCTCAATAAACTGATGTCTCTTTCTAAGGCTCAGCCACTATTTAAAAACAAGATGTCGTACTGAGTTCTTATATTATAAGGATATAATTTCTTGCACAAAGTAAATGAGTATAATTGCTAGACTACTACATGAGTTACTAAAATAATTACAACTCAGCTATTCTCATTTAATAAGTATGCAATACTTATGAGGAACTAGTACTTCCTTAGTTGTCTTCTCATTTATTCACAGATTATCAATAGTACACATTAGTGCATTTCTACTCAATCTTATTTCTGTCAAAAATCACAAAAAGATTGGCTTTTGCGTATAAATGTACGCAAGTTGTTGAGCTGTTTGTTCTTGAACAGCACAGGTATGCTGCAGGGTGGCTTATTTTCAATACTTGAATTTTACACTGACTTGTAATCCACCTTCTTTTTCTCTCTCTCACATGTGTGTATGTACGTTTATAATTTTTCAACTTGAAAAATAAAAGTCCATCAAGTTACTATGCCTTTTAGAAGGGTTCTCTCTTCAGTGAATAATTCAATAAAGTCTAAAATGAAAATGGGTGAGAGTATACTATTCCCTAATGTGATAATAAGTATTAAGTGGGAAAAGACTGCCTTGAACAATAGACAGAAAATATAGTGTACAGTGTGCATACCAATTCATATATACACAGAAACAGTTCACCTGCTTCAGTATCTTACAAAGCTTACATGATGAATAGCTCTTCTAGCCATGTACAAGCTAAGCATTTTGGAAATTTAATACAGCATTTCTGAGTCTTTTGATGTCAAACCAACATTTTCCTCAGAAATGACATAATTGAAGATCAAGAGTGAAGGCAGTATCAAAGCTTCCAACCTGGGTTTCATTTTGGTAGTAGTTCAGGATTAGATTGAAGTTACTTTTCAAATGCTGCATCAAAAAAACCCCCCAAAATTGGAAGATTCCTATTTTTTCAGCTAATGGTTAAACAGGATTCATAGAAATGCTCACTTCAGTTTAAAAAGCTAGTTTCAAAAGCTTTGTTTATATAAAAATGAGTTAATAGGTATTAGGGATGTGAATGGTTAAACATTTAATTGTTTAACCAAGTAGCCCAGTGATAACTGGTTGTGGCTTACCAGTTATCGTTTAGCATAGGGTGGAGCAGGGCAGGGCGCAGTCTGGCAGGGAAGGGGAAAGGGAGACCGCAAGGTGCCCCAGCAGGAACTGGAAGGTAGCGGGGCAGAAGGAATGAGTGAGGAGGAGGGGGAAGGACGAGGGGAGACTAGTACTGGTTAGTGTGCTCCCTCACTTCCAGCATCAGCTGTGCCCGAGTGGGTCTGTGCACAGCGGCTGGCTCCCTGCACTGCTCAGCGCAGGTGGCTGCAGCCCCTTCCCATGGCAGGGCAGGCACTGGCCCACGGTATGTGTTATTAATTAATCATTTAACCAATGTCATTAGCGGAGGTTCAAACTGCACTTTTAAAATGATATTTACATCCCCAGTAGGGATGTAAATGATAAGAATCCCAAGCAAAGTGTCTGCAGATTTCTTATGTCACTTCCTTATATTGTCATGTTTAATTGATTTAATACGGTATTTAATAAAGTATGGAGGAAAGCTAGGGATTCAAATAAAGAAAACAATCTGGCACCCTAGTACGATTGGTGAACTTGATTGATAATTAGCAAACTACTCCAATTGATAGTGTTATAGCAAATGGAAACAGAGCTTTATGGAAGGTTAGAAGGTGATTTCTTTAAAGATGACTAATAGCACCAGTTCTATTTAACAGTTTTACAAGCAGTTCAGAACTGCGATAGAGATGCCTTGTGTCAAAAAGAGCAAATAACAGCAGAAAGACAGATTGAGGATAGCTGGTAGTCTGGAGGATGCTGCCAAAAAGCAAAAGGAATTGAATAGGGTGAGGGAAATGGCAAGGAGAAAAGTCTGGAAATTTGTCCTTAGGAAGTATTGAGTATTGCTTCAGGAGAGAGAAAATATGTTACCAAAATATTCTTTATATCATATACTTGTGGAACCAAGGAAGGGCAAAGAGTTGGTAGCGATGTGCAGGAGTTGGAAGATAAAAGGTCAGTGTGTGGTAGCAATAAGAAAAAAGATAATAAGGTCTCATGGCATAGAAGCAGGGAGATAAGGTACGAGTGGAGAAAAAATAAGTTTAAAAGCCCTGGTAAAACTGCATTTGAAATGATATGTCCAGTATTAGACTTTTTTTTTTTTTAAGATATGCAGATTCTTGGGAAGTTATAAAAGAGGGCAACACAGCTTTTGTGGGCAATTAGAAGGTCTGTTTTATGAGAGAAAGCTTTAAGAGCTATATGTGGTTAGCCTTGAAAAAGACTCGAATGTGAGAGAGCTGACTAATATTCCTAGTGACTAATTTTGAGGAAAGATCTGGGCACGTTAGTAGAGTATGACATAATGTGAGGTCATGCTGAGAATTTTGTTAAGGATAAGTTTAGAGCTTATGTGCAACGGGGGAGATTTTTTCAAAGCAGCCGGCAAGCTGTGAAGAAATGCTAAGAGAAATAGCTGAAGCAAGCAGTATTGACAAAGTGTAAGAGGACAGAAATTCATCTGGGAGTTGATTTTAGGAGGCTTAAACCAGAACCTTGCTCGCTAAGAGCAAAATCCTCCTTCCAGTGAAGTCAGTGAAAAAACTGCTATTGACTTCATTTACCCCAGTAAGGCTCATGGCTTTCACCCCTGCGTGTATTGCTGGATATTTCTTCTGTAAAGCCAAAGTTGTTTTTTTTTTCTCTGTTAGAAATACATGGGGCAGGTGAGCCAAAGGGGAGGAGGACTGCCAGCTGCCCACTGTAATTCTAGTTTGTCTGTTGTTTCCCCCCTTTTAAAAATAACAACTTGTCACTGGAAACCTGACAAGCTAAAATTTGAAAAAAAAAAAATTAGAACCCCTCTTCCTGCCCAATGTTTCCAGTGCAACAAAAAAGCATTCACATCCTGGGATTTTGGGAGGTTTGTTATGTAGCGGCTTTGTTACACAGTAATTTGGGGCAGTTCCTCGAGCTCTCCTCTCCTCGTCTGGATTGCCCATACATTAACACCTGAAACTAGTTTTAAGTGCTCATTAGGTGGCTCAAAATTATGCCACTCCAGGGCAGGATTAACTCTGATCCATGTTACTCAGTGTCCCAGCTCAGGGTGGAGGCACTGGGGGAGCCCCAAGCAGCAGGGAGAAGCCCAGAATGGGGGCGATTCTTAGCTTTCAGTCATCCAGGCATTGAAGTATGACTGCTCCAGAATCAAGCTGCCACTAACTCTGATCAACATTTGTGCAGCTCACAGTGTAACATGTAACAAGGCCCTAGGAAGCAGAAGGAAATGTGAGCTCAATACAGTATTGATGTAATCTACTGGTAGCTTGTGTAATACTGATGAAACTATGATTTAAAGAGCTGACCATGTACATGTTTAACCTTGGTACTGCGAGATAAATATGTATTTGCTAATATCTGGGAAATACATATTACAAACTCTGCCAAACGCAATGACCTCTTTCACGTGCCAGTGATCTAAATGAAACTAATAGCTGTGGTATGATGAACATTAATTGAGCTGTTGGGTCCTAACAACAAAACATCATTTTAAGGTTTATCTTTTATTGGACCGGCTGTAGAGTTGAGAGGGGGAAAAAAAGGTCTTTTTTGGACCATCACAGCTATAACAGCACTCTAACCCTACCACATTTCAGACTAACAGTGCTCATGACGTTAATGTATTAAGGTTCATATTGAGTTTCGCAGGGCTGGGGTGTCAGGGTGAGGGGAGGGCACACTGGTTCTGTTCACTTAATATTTAAGTATTTATAACAAGGAAGCTTCATTCTGAAATGGTGGTTTTGTGGCAGTCCATGTCTGTGTACAATAAAACAATCATTTGTACACGTGCTTGTGCTGCAGCGTCTGGTGCTTTTAAAAAATGCCCGGTGCTGCGGCGCATACCGTTGTATGAGTGGCAAAATGCACATCAGCTCTGAGAAAATGGCAATGGCACACTTTTGAACTGAAAGACCGTGAAGCTGTTTTAGTACAAAAGTGCACCATCACCGTTTTCTGCATGCTGATGACCGTTTTGCCACTTATACAACTAACTGCATGTGCCACAGTACAGTGCACGTTCAGCTCATGTGCAGAGTAGTCTGCTCCAACCCACTGGATCTCTGGCATGTCGCAGGACAAAAAGGTAGGTTTAGAAATATCCATTAATGAAATCAATGTGGGTCTGATCCTGCAGTGTCCATACCGGCACTATCTTCACTGTTTTGGAGGCAGAAGTTCAAAGTGCTAGAGCAGGACACAGGGGTTCTGTTCCTACTCCTGCCCCTGGGTGCCTCAATGAATTTGGGCAACTTGCTTTTCTTCTCTGTGTCTCAGTTTATGATCTGTGAAATGGAGAAACAGGCATCTCCTTTTGCAACGAGCTGTTATATCTGCTGAGGAAGCATTCTGTAGGAAAAATAAAGCCATATTATTTGCTTCAGTAGGAGTTTTGCCTGTTTTTGAGATGCAAAATCCAATGTTATAATCACCATAATTTCTAATTGAAATGTAAATGTGTGTAGATTATTTTATTTATTTATTTATTTATTTTACTGGAAATATTTAACCTGGTGCTTTTCATTTCTTTATTTTTAGATGAACTTACAAATTCATCAGAAACCAGATTGTCTCTAGAAGATCTTTTCAGAAAAGAGTTCATAATTCATAATCCAGAAGCCAAATGGATTAACGGTATGTGTATGTGTTCCTAAGAGTTTTCATACAGATAGAGCATTTTGAAATCTGCTATCATTAGCAAGGCAAAGAGAGAGGTTTGTTTTAGGTTTTGAATGCTCTTGACATTGACTGTGGTCCTGGTTTTTCCTGTAGTTGTGTACTTGTAGTACGCTTGGATATCTAGAAACCTTCTAAAGTTGCCATTTATGGTGTTACAACTACCAGTTCCACATTACTTACATATGTGAATCCATGCAAATATGAAGAAAACTCGTAAAACTAAACCTAATGTATGAGTTCACATCAAAGCAAAGTTTTTCCCACTTCTAAAAATAGTAAAAGCCCAAACTGTTGTCATAGATAACATTTGTAAGGACATTTTAGATTGGCTTTCCATATGTTTGCATAGTTAATAGTTATTTTCTATGCTTATGAATTATATTAAAGATTCTGTTTGCTTGCTTTTAGAATTATACAGGCTCCTAAGGAACAATACACAGTGTTAATATGAATCCTGTCACCTGAAACAGCCTTTGAATCATGTAATTGAAATTTCTATTGTTTTTTTCTTGATCAGATACAAAGTTGCACTTTTTTTTTTTCCTGTTAGCAAGACATTTACAAATAAGAAAGATAGAGTCTATCTGTTCTGTGTCATTATAATTAGAAGGCAGGGTAGATAATGCTTTATAATAAATCCTTTTCTTGTTTGTCTCCTTACTGGTTGCTTTTGGAGGGAGTGACCTCTGGGAGAGTGCTATGCCAGGCTGACTTTCTTCATGAAAAGGGGGGCCTATAATTTCTTCTCAGTCAGAAAATGGGGTGCCCCCCTGGGGGCTGGCAGAAACTCTTTTTTGCTGTACCTGCAAGGTCCACTTTAACAGCAGTGGAACTGAAGCACCCTGGGATAGGGAGCTATCTCAGGGCAACCTCAATCTGTTCTTTGGGGAAGTGGCAGCACAGTGAGGAGAAACTTGGGGTTTCAGGGGTCCCCCCTGGATGGGTTTGTGTATCATTCAAGGTGCTATGAGCACGAGGAATAGCAGCAAGCTCTGGGCAAAATGCAGTAATGCAAGAGGAGTGTCTTGAAAATAGGGCATCTTGTCATTTGGCTGTCATGTACATGAATTAAGGGTAGTGAGAGTGGTTTATCTGCTGCATTGATAAAGTCAAAAGTGGCTGCTTAAAGATTCCCCCCTGGTATCCACCTTTGATGTCAGTAATCATTAGAAATGTGGATCAATAGCATGATGCTAAAAGACACAGCCTGCTCTAGAGACTGATGTGGAATCGCATCTGTCAGTGGAATCATTGTGCTTTTAGGTATCTAGAATCATTGTGCTTTTGACAAGGGAAGAGATGGGGAGAGGTTGTCAGAAAATGAAGCCTGTGATAAATGTCTGCCTGGTTTGGTCCAGCTCTGTTGGCTGGTGGGCATGGCTCGGAGCCCAACCTCTACCTAAGCCTACTACTCCATCTATTGAGAGGTAGGCTGGCAAAAGTACTGACAGCATCCTGGAACACGTGCATTAATGAAAAGATTCCCAATACACTCAGTGCAGAAGAGAAAGGGAAAGCTCTCATCATTGTCACATCCTCTGTGCTGCTTTTCTGTGTCTGTGCTGTTCCTTTATGCCTTATCCCATGGCAATATGAATCTCCTCTTTCCTCTGGTTCATTTTGCGACTGTCTTTATCTAGTAGAAGAGTCGCAGTGGAGGAACGGGAATTGGGTCAGCAGTCCTTGGTGCCACCTTCAAGAGGGGGTAGGCAGGGAAGAACAAAAATAGCCACTGCTGCCTCGGCTGCCCAGGGTGCAGAGGTGCTCTGTAATACCACCTGTTTTATAGAGGGCTCCTGTCTCCTGCCTCCCAGGACAATGCCCTGAATTACTTGGGTTATGGAGTATTTGGAGACGAGCATGTTCCTTGTCTCTGTTGATGAAATTCCATTTTGTATAAATAACGAAGCATTCGCTGAAGGAGATGGAAACAAAGTATCCCATCTCCTAACAAGGATTGCCCTCTTTGACTAAATACTTCATACAATGTGGGTGGGCCCTACCAGGAATGACTGAGAGCGGTCCCAGCTGATTCGATAGCTCTGTTCCCACCTGGCTCAGGGCAGGGATTGGAACCAAAAGCGCCCATCTCTTTGGTGACTGCAATAACCACTAGGATGTACCGTATTATGAGATGGGTCACTCTTATTCTATTCTGTTGGAGCTACTTTCTTTTGTATATAATGCTTAAATGGACATCGAGGTAGAGGACAAGTGAGAATGTCTCTCTATCATGATGGTTAGGATGCTCCCTATTGGGCAGTGGGCTGAATGGGTTCAAGTCTCCTCAAGCAGACGTGGGGGATTGAAGATTTAAAAATGGCCATTATTATGGAAGCTGAGGGCTCTAACCTTAACTTACTGGATAAAAGGAGATATTGTTACTGCCACTACCATTAGTAATAATACTGTTGTGTATTTACCTTTCTTTGCCCTAAAAAAAATCTCAGTGAAAGTATTTGGAAAATTTGATCAGAACTTCATTTTTTTTCCCCCTAGTCAGTGTATTGTTCATCAAAAGCATTCAGTTCATCTCTAAAACAAATGAACAATTTAATTTTTCCTGTGGTCCTTGTCTTTCTTTTAAAAATAGTGGCTTTTCTTCTCAAATAAAATTACAATAAGGATAGAATTAATGTTAATTGTGATCTGTAAAGGTAGTTTACTTACCTTATAGAGATACGCTTAGTACTGTACAGGTTTCATCATTAGTCCTATTATCTTGCTACTGAATAGATATTAAATGCTTCTTGCCTAATAATCTTGCAGGCTATTAATAAAATGTGTACAATGTAGCTCTGATGCATGAAATATTCATTATTTCTAAAGCAAGGGAACATAACTTATTAACGTGGCATGGATTGACTTTATGACTTCTACTAAATATTATTTGTATATAGCACATGGTTGAGTATTGCCATTTTGGGCTCAGTTCTAGAGTTCATACTGAGACAAAATTCCTCTTAACTTCAGTAGGAATTTTGTCAGAATGAGGATTAAAATAAGGATTTGGTGATAACTGAATGCCTTAGTGCACAGGGTTGTTTTTTGTGAAGCTATTATTTATTCATATTTATTTATTTGATGTACACGCCACCCTTCCCAACAAAACAACTTATAAAACCACAGACAGAACAAAACAGGTAAATAAAACAATGTATAACGTGTATGGATGATGGTGGCCATATCCAAATCTGAAAGAAAAGGTTTCAGCCTTCTAACCAGATGACATTGCTAAAAGCCACCCTTGCAACCTGGAGACCCAGGAGCAGTGGAGGATTGAGGGACACCCCACGGCTGCAAACCTGTCTGACAAGGTGGTACTGAACCCCATCAATATAGGAGTCTCAGTCCCTCCCAGGTCATGTAGACTGCCTACCTTTGTCTTTTCTGGATTCAGCTTCATTTTGTTTACCTGTATCCAGTCCACACCTGTACCCAGGCAATGAGAAAGGACTGAGACTGTGGGACCATCATACTGATGATAGCTCATTCTAAATCAATGCAAAAATCTCACTTAATGGCTTCATATGAACATTGGACAGAAGGGGTGACAGAATGGAGCCCTTGGGAATCCTGTAGGGAAAGTCCCAAGGTAGTGATGAACTCTCACCCTGCTAGGAAAGAGGGGAACCAATTAAAAGAGGTCCCAGGAATACCTGCCAGCTCATACAAATGCTTTTTTGGCATGTTAAACTGAAGATGAAATTACAAGTTACACTTAGATCATACTAAGACACTTAAAACGTGAGTGTCCACACGTTAAATCTGTTAACTTGTGTTAAGTGCACCGAGTGTCTCACAGTTATGCCATTTCAGGTGAGGGTCACCTCTGGGCCGTGCTACCTAGCTCATGTTACATTAACTTCAGTTTGTTCCATGGGCATGAAACAATCAGTTTGTGGTAGGATAGAGCCTGTGTGTCCTGGCTCCAAGTCACAACTCTGCTTGCCAGGCCTCTAGTGGTAAGTCAGAACCATGCAGGCATGAAATGATATTAACCCTTAATGTGTGACTGCTCATAGCATGTTTTAACTTGAACGTCACTTAATACTCTGCAGCTTTAGCAGGGGTAAAGTGTAACATGTAACTGCCACCGTGATCAGCTGTATCAAAGAAAGATCTAGCAAGGGTGGGCAGACACAATTTCCCTTGCCAATCTCTAAACAAAGATCACCAATGCCCAGGAGCACAGTCTATGTGCTATGCCTAGTGCAAAAGCTAGACTGACAAGTGTCAATACCACTTTGGATTTGGAATCTGTCATTAAAACGTCCAATTAATGAAAAGGTCATTTAGGGTTTTTTTGGAAAATATAGCCACTACAGATCTTATTTTCCCCTATGTCATCAGGTAATTGTCTAAGCGTTTCTGTCCATTGCAAACATTTTATGAAAGAAAAGGCTCATATTTTAAGTGCAGCAGATTGGTTGCTTTTTCAGATCTTTTTGCTGTGATGTCTTTCTCAACAGGCATGCATATTTTCTAATACCCACAGTCTAAGATCTTCCATCTCTTTTATCAATTCTTTTTGGAGCAAGGGGCTTGATAAGGATTGAAGCGGGTGTGGAAGGAGGAGAGTTTAGTTTTATTTACATTTTAAGTGGATTTCCAGGGACTTTTAAAAAGTAGTATAGGGGCATCTGCTGGGTTTCACTGCAGATTTGTTTTGTTAACATCTATCAAGAGCACACAGACTTTTTCATTTTAACTCCCTTTTCCCATATTTTTACCTAAAACCAAAATTTGTAATGAAATTAACGCCATGTATGATTTTATCGCTCAAAAAAAGACAGATTCCTTTTCCTGATTTCCTGGCACAAGTGGGTGCATATGCATGGAAAATGACATATGAAATTTCTGTCCTTTATTTAATAAAGATATTATGGCAACGGAGCATTTGGTGTCTTCTATAGCTATTGAAGAACATGGTGGGCAGGATAATTCCTGTTGAG